TTGAATGTTGGAAGATAATGTTTCTACCATTTCTCCCTCATTCTTGGAAATGGCTCAATGGCTTGAGCTGTCTTATTTTGATTGCACTTTTCCCTCAGACTAAGCCTGAACAAACCTAGTGTGTAAAAACATGGTCCAAATAGGACTTGAAAAGCTAGAAGGAAAGGAAAATGTGATTTTCAAGGGATCTGACAGACAGTCTTAAAAGCGATACCAGTATTTATTCTTCACTACCTCTGCTGTTTATGCATATCATAACTGGAATGGGCAGGCTACTGCCAGCCCACACAAAGTGCCCTATATTCCCTGAGCTCAGTTATGACTGTAAGCAAGCAATTAAAAAATATGGAATTCTGCCGTAATGGGATTTGCAGTCTCCTGAGACCACTTGCCAGAAGCCACCCATCCTGGTGAGGAAGAGCCAGGGGTCTATGTCACGACTCATGTCCAGGCACCTGTGTGAAGACTCTGTCACCCACAGAGCAGCACAGCACACTGCATGTACTCCTCGGGGCTGGCACTGCTATCTTTGGGACTCATGTTGCCTGTCTCAGGTGCTTGTTTCTCCAAGGCATGGCTGTTTCATTCATTCCTCCCTGCTGGAGGTTAAATGCTGACTTATCTCCATCCAAAATTTAGTGGCATGCATCCTGTTTGAGGGCTGATGCTGTGCTGATGCCTTAGAGATACAAGGAAATTGAAAAACAACCTCTCTGTTTTCATGAATATCTCCATAGCCAGGGAGGCAACAAATCTGAAGAAACACTGAATTGAACGGTGCACTGTAAGAGGAGAGGTGACACAGCTAGGGACTGTATTACCAGCCAGAGGAGTCAAACCAGGACATGTAATGATTATCTAATTTCTTCTTCTTTTCTGTCAATAGCTGTTGAGCTAGATTGACTGCATTTCATTTGGCTGCCTCTCATTTCTCTTTAGAGGTGAGAGGACAATACTCTTGCTGCCACACTGCAGCATAGAGAGCTCCAACTGCAGCAAGCACTGTGGCATTGTGCTGCATTGTTCTGAGTGTGCCAGACACTTCTGCAGAGCCCCAGCATGTGCGATGTATCAGTGTTTCATTAACTCCCACTATATTAAAAGAAATGGCAAGAGTGGTGCTCAGCATTGAGGCCTTCATTTCTTATCTGCATGGAATGTGAAGTGCTCAGAACTCGACAGCAAATGATATTCATCCTCTAAAAAAGTTCCCTGCACTCAGTAGCCAAACTCATTACACATTCTTAGCCCCTTAGTGTGTCACTTTCCCATACGTTATCCTTTGCCATTTGCTAAGGATGGGAGTTGAGTGTTGTGGGGCAGGGAAAGGAGGGAACCAAGCTGCTGTGTGGGTCACACCTTGCCACATGTGCATGGGGGGCCTCCAGTAGGTGCACATATGCTACAAACATAAACATGTTCCCTTCTGCCCAGCAGATACCACTGACCACCCCAACATTCTCACATGTGCACACTCCCACAGGCAAACCTTCCAGTCCAGCCACACAGAGGAAGGGGAAGAACCATTTTCTCTATGAAATGCAATAAAGGCACCTAATTCTATTGCATCCCAGTCCAAATCCAGAGAGATGGGAAGAAGAGGGGTGGATGTCTCCGCTTGAAACAGGAGCCTCCAACTAACAATGGTGAGAACAGAGAGACTGGTAAAACCTTCAGTTCTTTATAAACTAATGCTTTACTTTCAAGTTACAGTAGAAAAAAATTTATCAGCAAATAGACCAAATGTAAATAAATGGCATATACATGTATGCTATATATCTGCATGCAAACAATAAGTATACATTCCGTTTTCAAAATCCAGTTCTGAAGTTTTGTCAGAGTGGGAAATACCAAGAAGCCAGGTTATCAAACACTCAGGATCAAGTGTTGTCTGCTCATCACAGCTTCCTCGACCCAGCCTCAGTAAGCGGGGGTTTGATTTCTCCTTTCTCACTCAACAAATTTCTAAGCAGATTTTCTCTACGTATGAACTCAAGCAATGCATGTCCACAATTTACTAATAAATGAGAGCTCTCTCTGCCTTCAGAAAGGTTGACACAAAGCCAGCTGAGTGTTCTCTGTCCAGATATTCCCATTCCAAGTGTGATTAGCACTGTCTTGTCAAATGTAGCTCTAAGCCATTTGTGAACACCTTCTTTGTTTGTAGTAGCACACTCAAACCTGCACAGGCCTCTGTGTTTGCTCTTCTGTCTATCCCATTAACAGCACATCACATCTCAAGATGTCGTACTGCAGAGAACCACAAAAGCGCTTTTAATCAATTTAAAGCAAACCAAGATAATTACTTTTGCTCTGGATACACAGTCCTTGGTATACCGACCACAACATACATACTCTGAGAAAGCTAAATTGTATATTTAATTCTTCTCCTGTAAATTCAGAATTACCATGCAAGACTTCTTTATACCACATTTGAAATTGTAATCAGCTGTAATTATGCCATGATACCTATAATAATTAAACTGCGGCTAAACACAGTTGAACCCTATGAGTTTTCCTGCTTCAAAAGCACTAATTAAAAAATATCCAGGATCTTGAGAGGTATTTTCAAGAACATGAGAATTTATTAGGTGCCTGGCTATTTTTATTACTGTGTAAGAGAGTAAATAAAATCATACAACATCATTTCTTCCTGTTTGATTCCACTATAATATTTACAGCACAATGTATCTTTTCTCAACTCCCAGGTTTGCTTTACTACAGTCAATTTAGTTATGCATGTGCAATCCCTTCAGCACTCATACTTCTTTTAAAAGTTTAAATACAATAAAGTAAGAAGTAAGACAGGAATGAGAACACTGCTTTAATTGGGAGAAGCAAGAATGCATGGGGGAACTTCCTGTAGCAGACTGAATGTTGAATTCACAACTATGCTTTCTGATGCTACATAATATAAATATGTCAAGGCCCATATTTCAAGGTCAGTTGGAATTTGGCAAAACATTATGTTCTCTTTTTTTGTGGTGTCAGTGATAGCAAGTTATTCTTAGCAAATTCAAACGTTTGAATTTCTGTCAATAAACAGGACTGCATTACTAACCTGTAAGGCCAAGGAGTCACGTAGAGTGAAAATATGCAGGGAGAAACAGCTGTTAGCCATTATTTTCTCCTTATCCTCTCAACACCTCTGTGTCAGTTTGTTTTTAATGGGTAAATCACACTTTCTTCATGGGACATTTTCTCATTTGGGACAGATATTTAAGAGAATTCTGCAACAATTAACGGCCATTGGCCAAAGTTATTTTCTCGTAGTTTATCTTTCTGTACACATTGATAGTCACTTTTATGCTTTATCAAACAAATAATGCTGATGTGAAATTGCTAGTCCTTTGTTGGTACTAATACAATGATGCTTCTGCACTTCTTCTTTAACAATGGACTCAGCCTCTATTTTTCTCCTCTTGTACAGCATGTGTTTTATTTCCCAAGAGAGAAATACCAACTACATAAATGACCCTCACATAATTTAGGCAAGAGAAGAATCTGCCATCAGACAGCTTTTAAACATCTGTTCTACACTTTACCACGTTTGACAAGGTTTCACAGAAGCTGTTTGGAAACTGAAGAAAAATAGATACAGTGTCGGTTGTGATCAAACTCTCCTTACTGTGCTAGCTGCTTTGTTGTCATCTCAATTTCTGCAAATGGTAAATTGAATATTTACCAGCAATCTGAGCCTTTTGCTCACTTTGGTTTTAATCATTCCAATTCTAGGCCATAGTGAAAATGAGATCATAGAATGGTTTGGGTTGGAAGGGACCTTTAAGATCATCTAGTTCCAACCCCCTGCTAACCTCCCCCCAGACCAGGTTGTTCACAGCCCCATCCAGTCTGGCCTTAAATGCTTCCAAGGAGAGGGCATCTACAACCTCGCTGGGCAATCTGTTCCAGTGTCTCACCACTCTCACAGTAAAGAATTTCTTCCTAATATCTAGTCTAAATCTACCCTCTTCCAGTTTAAAACCATTCCTCCTCATCTTGTCACCATCTGCCCTTATAAAATGCCCCTTCCCAGCTTTCCTGTAGTCCCCCTTCACAAGGACTGGAAGGCCATTATAAGGTCTCCTCAGTGCCTTCTCATATCCAAGCTGAAGAGCCTGAGCTCTCTCAGCCTGTCCTCATAGGGGAGGTGCTCCAGCCCTTTGATCATCTTCATGGCTCCCCTCTGGACTGGTTCCAACAGCTCCACGTTCTTCTTGTGTTGAGGGCCCACATGGATAGTCACAAAGTGCAGCAAAATAATCCCATAATTTTTACTCTTTTTAACATTTGGTTTAATCCTAATATCCTACTAAGTTGAACTTTTCACTGTGAATTGCATTTTCCCTTAATTACATCTAAAGTCGAAATCATTACCATAGATCTTCCATGGGCCAGTAAATGAACTGGGTCTGGAGTTCTCCTTCCAAATCTAGTGAAGATTAATCCACCCACTCTGCCCACCTCCTCAGGGCTGTTACTGCTTACTCTTATATACGACCCCTACTGCTGCTCACATGCATCAATGATTGCAGTTTTGTAAAGAAAGGAAAAAAAGAGAAAATAAAAATAGAAAGGAGCTCCCTCTGTGCTGAGGCATGCAGTATGAGTTTGGCATAAAACCATGCGCACAGAGCAGCTGATGCTGGCAGTTGGATAAAGCACCAGCACTGTATGAAAAAGAGTAAAAGAAGGCACTTTTTCTCGGTAAGAATACCCTGTCAAAAAGCCGCTGTGCTAGTGAAACCATATCCCAAGAGGCGGAAAACGTTACAGGAGTGTATCAGCGAGACTCCGTCAGGGATGTATCAGGGAAATAAAGACTCCTGCCAGTGTCACCGTCTCCACCACCTCGACCCTTTATTCCCCTCTCCGTGCCCGAGCTCCGTACGCAGGCGTCGCCCGGGGACCTGCGGACTCGTCTCGACAGCAGAAGTCCGCTCCCGCGGGGTCGCTGCCGGCCCTGCCCGGTGCCCCCCGCCCCGCCCGGTGCCACCACCCCACTTCCAGCCACGTGTCCGCCGCAGCGCGCTTCGCACCGAGCTGCCGCATCTCCCCCCTAAGGCCATTTGGGCCATACACGCATCCGCGCTCCGTGTCGACACAGCGCGCATTCCCGCGGAGCCTTTTTGTTGACGGCGCTGGCAAATGAGCCGGGGGAGGTGGGCTCCGCCGCCGCCGGCACTGCGAGGTATAAAAGCCGCCGGGCCCGGGGTGCAATGAGATGTGGTTGCGGTGTACTATGGAGGTTGGAGCTCTGCGCTGCGGCTGCCCGCTTTCAGTGCCGCTGCCCCCGCGGGGCTGCCCCTGCGTTCCGCACGATTCCGCACCCTTCGCTTCTCCCTCCTCCTCTTCCTCGCCCCGCCGCTCAGTGCCCTTCTGGAGGCCGTGGGCGCCCGGCCCCGCCGCGGTGAGTGGGGCGGTAGGGCTGCGGGCTGTGCGCCGTCCGCCGTCCGCGGGGTGACCTCTGCTTTCTCGTCCCCAGGCGCGCAGTCCCCGCGGGCTGGCCGAGGCCTCTGGAAAGCCGGCTCAATACGCGCACCCCGTGAGGTAAGTGGGAAAGGGGACTTGGGCAGCTCACCCATTGACTTTTTATTTACTAATTGTGGTGGCGGCAGGATTGGCTGAAGCAGCTCGGGGCTCGCTGCCGTGCCCAGGGTTAAAGCAGGGAGCAGAGGACGGTCCTTGCGGTGTCTTCCTGCAAGTGCAGTACAGCTATGGGAGCAAGAAGCAGGAGAAGGGTCTGAGTGCTGCCAGCTCACTCAACCACTGCTAGAATTAATGGTGAAGGCAGCGATGCTATCTGCGTTGTCAGGTCTGAGAGAGAAATGAAACAGCTCCTACTGAATCTGCAGGAAAATCTGTATTCAGCTACTTCCAAGGTGCTGAATCTTACTGCACAAGGTGTTCTAGGTAAGATGCAGCTTTCTCCCTAACCTAGGCTCTGCTCTGACAAACGCAGGTCAAACAACGTAAGCCATTGCACTGGCTCGGTGCCCTGATGCTGTGCCTGTGCATGAGTGAATGCTGCAGGGAGCACTGGGAATGAGATATTGCAGAGCAAGTATGCTTTGTGCTGTAAAGGAGGCAGTGTTCTATTAAACCACTGCCTAGAAAGCATTTTTGTACTTGGTAAAAAACCCTCATTCTAATTCTGTTCCTTAGTGCAATTCTGTTATGAGCAGTCTGTAGTAAGCACTTAATTTGCATTGTGCTAGTCTCTTAGCTCCTGGGATTTCTATTGTTTCCTGCAGCTTCTTCCAAATGGTAAGCAAGAGGATGTTAGTTGAAAAGGAGCAGAAACAGTTGTGATGTTGTTGCAATATATATAATGTATACTAGCTGATAGCTCTTGCTACACCATATTGTCAGCAATTTTCATCCTGATTCCTACATACAACACTTCTGTAAGAAGTTAGTGAAGATTCTGTTTACAAAGATGAAACTTTGGTGGAGCATCAAAGCGTGATTCCCTGAGGCTGTCATTGTTCCTTTCACCTTGACACTTGTCTCAGACCATAGCAACATCACCCAAAATGTACCCATCTCTAATAAAACCACTGATTTACACCAGGTACTTTGAGAATGCTATTTCACACCCACTGTATCCTCAAAGAACTTTTTCACTTAGAGCAGTGTTATTTGGGGTAGGTCCAAAAGAATACTGATAATGGGGTACCAGATTGATAAGCTTCAGGCATGGATCCTGGAGTTTAGAGCAGTATTGCAGCAACGACACAGCATGTGAAGCACTATTTTTTCTCTCTTCTGGTGGAAATAAGAATCTGGAGAATATGTTTCTACTTATATGTGGAGTTTAGTTCAGTCACTGGCCATGTGATGAGAGGAATGCTGTAGGAAGTTTGTCTAAGCAGAATATCACTGTTCCTTAACTGTCAGCCTTCAAGTAGTATGTATAATAACAATAAGGAAACTTACTCTATGCTTGTTTCAGACTGTTTTGGCCCAAATCAAGGTGCTATGATTACTTGTATCAGGAAGCTGAGGCACTTCTGAAAAACTTTCCTGTTCAAGCTACGATTTCTTTTTATGAAGACTCAGACAGTGAGGAGGATGAAGGTGAACTGGAGCAACATGCAAGAACAGAATCACATTGCTGATGGCAAGAAAGACCAATCGAGACTACTTCTATTAAACTTAATATAAAAAATGTATTACAGTATTTTTAAAGATAGTTTATATGTATATAAGTTATTCTTAATAAAATTGGAATGTTTTGTAATTTTATCTGAGCCTTTGTTCTAGTTCCGTCTCGCTTCTGGACAGGGAAAGTATTGATGAGTAGTGTTTTTATTTATTTAGTCTGAGGTCCTTTATTTTGCAGACTGTAAACACCAGTTGTAGGTGCAGCCCCCCTTCTTGGGCTTACATGGCAAGGCAGCACGGGGCCGCAGGAGTGCGCTGTGAGCAGAGCCCCGTGTCAGAGCACAGCTCCGCTGCTCTGAAGGGGACCCGCCACAACTCAGCCCTGTGCGACGCTGCGAAAGGGAAGCGGGATGTGCGAGAACAGCCCTGCATCCCGCGGGAAGCCCGCATGGAATCAAGTGGGGAAGGCCGGCACTCCGTGGGAGGCACCCGCCCCTGTGACGGGCCGCGCCCGCCCATCGGGCCGCGCCTGCGCGCTGTGCCGGAGCGCTCCGCCCGCCCGCCGGGTGCAGGCCGGGCCGGCAGGATGCTGAACGTGCCGCCGCAGGCCTTCCCCGCGCCCGGCTCCCAACAGCGGGCGGCCGCGGGCGGCCGCACCAAGGTAGGGCCCGCGCAGCCCCCTCGGGGTCGGGGCTTTCTCTCAGCCGGCCCTGGGGCCGTCACGGTGCGCACTGCGGGGCTGGCGGCGATCCGCGGCCGGCCGGGTTCGGGGCCGGGCCGAGGCTGCGTAGTTACCTTATTACCGCTCTTCTCTTAGCGGGGCTCATGGCACTTCTTGTGCGGCCTTTCCGTATCATCTCGATTTTCTTCAGTCTTTTAAGATAAATGAATCCTTTGGCTGGCTTGCAAAATAGGAAGCCTCCTTAAACAGCTTTACTGCTGGGTAGGGCTCCCAAAAGATCACGGAGAGTATGGGTTATTTCTTGTTTTGCCCCAGTCTTCCTTGGGAGCTTAGAAAAGCATTTTGAACGGTTCTTTCTCCCTTTAGAGTTGAATAATGTTTATACATCTTGTTATTTTTCAGGTTCCTTTAAAACCGGGAAGGAGTCTTATGGATTGGATTCGATTAACTAAAAGTGGAAAGGACCTGACTGGTTTAAAAGGGAGGCTGATCGAAGTGAGCGAAGATGAGCTTGCTAAGCACAACAAGAAGGAAGATTGCTGGATATGTATAAGAGGTTGGTTACTGCCTTGTTGCTTTTGCATTTGTTGCCTAGTCTGTGTTCCGCACTTGAAACATAACAACAAACTACCTCCCCCAGAAATCCTCACCCCAGAACAGTGTATTGTGTCGTCTTATGTTGAGACCAGGTGTAATGTTGATGTAGTAGGACACAACTTTGTCCAAGTTGGCAGTTTTATGTAACAATGCTATTCTTTGCTTTCAGACTTTTTTCAGGCAGTCTTTAAGGTTGGTGTACCTGACACTTATGTGAAAATAGTAAAATTTAAGAATATGGTTGACTCTTCTGACAACATCTTAGCAAGAATAAGACATTAAAAATGCTGACATGTACTTGAAGTCTTTAGAGTGTGTATCATCCTTAGCAGCTGAAGACTTTCACTGATTGCTTTAAAGCATCTAGAATCATAAAAATATGTAAAGATGTTATTTAGATTCTGTAGAATGGTTTCTGGAAAATGCATGTATGTAAGCCCACGTACCACTTCATACAATTTAGAAAGGTGAATGATAATTGCCATGCAGATAAATCTTTGCCTATATCTACAGTATATCTGAAGATATACTGTAAATATCTTAGGTAACTGACTCATGGTGTTTGTTTATTGTTACTTTTATGAAATTTTAACTCAAGTTAAAATTATTGTATATTGTTAGATGGCAATGTGCTAAAAGTAGTTTGGAGTAATAGCCTTGTCTAGATGAGTATTCTCAGTGCTGAAGATGAAGTTTCTAGTCTTACAGAAAGAAGAAGAGTACTCACTCTGCTGTTTAATTGTTTAGAGATTAAAATACATTAATATTGTTTTGAATTTGTTGTGAGATAATCTGTTTTGTGGAAGTGCTGTTAAGAAGGTCAGAGTGGCTTACTTACATGATCTGTATAGGAAAAGTGCTTTGTTTAATGGTAACTTAAGGAATTTAATGTAATGTCATCCATAAATTCCGGCAAAATTAAGAAGTTCTTCACAAGGATGACTGTTTTTGTTGGGTCAAAAAGGGGAATGAGAGTGAGCTTTTTGAGCAAAGTAGTAGGATTGTTACTGCTCTGCGTACTGCTCTTGCAGATATGAGCAGAATTATAATGAGAGGAGAGCTGAAGAAAATGTATTTTGCAGTGTAGATTTGGTTATATACCTTTAAAAAAAAAAAACAAAACAAAAAACAACAACACATCTACTGCTGCAGGTAGAATCACTTATAAAGCTTATAAATGCTTTCTAATCTCTTACTTCCCCCAGGCAGCCTTTTTGAGGCATTTGTGTTAGTGTAGTTGGACTATGGCTCTCTAGTAAAAAGCAAAAATTGAGAGCAATGTGAAGGAGAAGGGAATCAGGAGCTAACTTTTCAAAAGTCAGTAGGATGATCACCAAACAGAGTTGTCACGTAGGGCACAGATATATGAAATGAGATGGCAGCGGGTTAAAGAACACGTATAAGGTGGAAATCTGAATGTTTTGTTGACATTCAGGAGTTCTGAACTGTTTGATTTTCCCTCGTGCATTTTCTTATGTGCAGTAACCAATCCTGTGCACAAGGTGGCGTAGTGGTTACATCCCTCAGAACATCAAGTCAGTAGAGTGTGCAAAAAAACCTTTCCAGTCCTGGAGAATTGTTCTCACCAATTAAGATTGTCCCAGGAATACGTCTCCCCTCACCTAATGCTGAATGCCTTCATTTCTGGAGTAATGTAAACTTTTTAAAAGCACGCAGTGCATGGTTTTGCTTTAGTAATTTCTTGTTCAGATAATGTTTAATTTTTTGAAATATTTTGCTATGTAGACCTGCAGTAGTCCCATAAGAAGAAATGTCTGTGGTTAAATCTGTTTATTGCTGCATTCTTCAAACTCTGATTACTCTGCATTTCAGTAATTGGTCTTCATGATTCCAGGCCTATAAAGCATTTTTTAAGAAATCTTACTAAAAGTACAGAGTAGTTCTTGTGTAAAATGAATGCTGAATCCTTTTATTAAGACAAATTTATCATCAGTATTTTCAGCCTCTAATGAGCTTAGAGTGCATTCAGGTTTTTTGTACTGCTGAATCTACAGAGGGAATGTTTTGTTGATGATGGTGGTAGCTTTTGTTTTTAGAAGACAGTTTCTTCCCATAGTCATTTTACTCCATAGGTGATGAATGACAGAGAAGCAACTTCAACAGCACTTCAGCAGTGACTTAATTCAAAGAGATAACAAAAACAATTCCCTGCACTAACTAGTTCAATTCTGTGTCTCTATTTAACTGGCCTCTGGCTCTCATACACATTAGCTAGACTGTGACACGTTCATCTTCAGGTGTTTATTTTGTTATTCTTAAACCTGCAGGGATTTTCCAGATGTTAGTCCTGCAGTGCCACAAAACTTATCCTACTGAACAACTCTGTGTGATGTGTTTCATATCAGGTTCCATACAGTTGTGTTACTTCTGTTTCTGATTCTGGAAAATCATATTGCTTGCTATTACACTGTGTAATAGATACTAATCTTTCCACTGTTTCTGGAGATGACTGAATAGTTGCAGTGGTTGTAAAAAATGTTACATGATCTCACATTCCATTTTCTGCAGGACTTGTATACAATGTCACACCGTACATGGAATATCATCCCGGTGGTGAGGATGAACTAATGAAAGCAGCTGGAACTGATGGTACAGATCTTTTTGACCAGGTGAGAACAACTTCCTCACTAAAAGGTATTTTGAAAAAAAAAATGTATGCGTATTTCCTGATTATTTTAGGTCATCCCAGTGGAAATGATTTGAACCTTTTGAGGTCTAAGCGTAGGCAATAGCTTACTGTTCAGAATTGCACTAATGTGCTGAAAGAGAAACATCATTTAAATATTGCATCAAAAGTCAATAATGAAAGTGTTGTTTTATGTCGAGGTTTTGCTTCAATTTGACCATTTTAACAAATTGATTGGTTCTTAGCAGAAAAAGCTATTAAACTTCAGATTCCTACCTCCTAAATAAATTAGTATGTTGACTAATTGCTGTTGGTTGAAAACCATTTTCTTCCCAGAGAGCATTCATTATTTTTACAAATACTTGTAGTGTTTTTCCGTCTATTAACTTAGTTACTGCATTATCAGGGAACAAAGTACTGAAGAAAACGTTCTGGGACTGCTGTTAACTCATTGTGAACAAATCAGAAGATGACAACTGGTCTCTTCTTTGTTGGCCATTTCTTTAAGGCTGAAAAGAAGGTCTGCAATCTTCCAGTAAGACCTGATTTTGTAGGAGGTGATTCACTGAGTTGGTCTTTTTGGCAGCAGACATTTTTCCCATCTCCTTGGCTCACAGGATTTTCCTGGGAAACTGGGGAAGAGCAGAAAGGGAACTTCCTCTGTTTCTGAAAGAATTCTGTCATTTCTTTACAGTTCTTACATTATAGTATGTTACGTCTTGACTTGCAAAACGTATTTAAGAATGAATGTAAATAAATGAGAGATGTGATGCACTTTGTTTTGTTGGTTTTGGTTAATCTCCTGTCAAATGAAGTGTCTAGCACAGGATTTGGGTATATTAGTCACAAATCTGCTTGGGTTTAAAGAAATTTGCATTTTCACTCCTGAAAATTTGTGCTGTGTCAAGTTGTGGCCTGAAAGTCTGTAGCTAAATCACTGTCAAGTGTGGTGTGATGTACTCAGAAATGGCAATCCCGGCAGCAAAGATATTTCCAGAAGGCCAACAAAGTGTATCTGAACTTTGTAACATACTTGGTACGTTTTTGTTTGTTTTGTGACAGGAGTGGAAAACCACCTCCAGGTTTTAGTTTCTGGTTGATGTCTTTCCAGTGCTGGAGGCATTTCTGTTGCCTATGCATTCTATATCTGTTAGATACTGATGTATTTAAGAGTTTGGTAGGTTGCTGGTGTTTCTTAAATTTCTAAAAA